ATTTTTATGAGCAGCAGCCTTTTCAGATATTCCCCCTGAAAAAAAATAGCAAAAGGACCTAAGCAATATAGAGAAATATAAGTAAGAAAGTCTGAGTGTTATTAAATGAAAAAGAAATCAGCCAAGGGATTTCAGACTGAAGAAACAGCTGCACGAAAGTGTTGCTTTCACAGGAAGACAGAGCCAGAATCCATAATATGGAATTGAAAACTTTGCATGTTAAAATAGTGTATCCACAGCTTCAGAGATTTTAGTGGAAGCCTTTGGATGTAGGATAATATAATTTTCTTAGTAAGGCAATATCTCTTGGGAATAGAACACTTTAGAGATAGTCCTCAATTTACAACTGATCATTTAGAGACCATTTGAAATTACAATGGTACTGAAAAAAGTAACTTATGACCATTTTTCAGACTCTTTTCTAGTGGTCATGTGCTCGAAATTCACACACTTGGTAACTGTCTTATTTATGATGGTTGAGGAGTCCTGGGGTCATGGCATCACCTTTTGTAACTTTCTGACAAGCAAAGTCAATGGGGAAGCCAGCTTCACTTAACAAGCATATTGCTTACAACTGCAATGATTCACTTAACAACTATGGCAAGAAAGGTTGTAAAATGGGACAGAACTCACTCAACAAATGTCCCATTTAGCACAATCTTTTTTGTGGCAGTTATTAAGGAAATGTCATGGTTGTAAAGTGAACTCATTTTTTTTGCTATGGGGCCTTTTTTTGCCAGAAAACATACTGTAAGTAAATGCCGGTTTCTGGGGGGAAAGAACATCATAGATTGTAGTCATATGACTGCACGACGCTGCAAATGGTGTAAATGCAGGTCAGCTGCTGAGCATCCAGAATGCAGTCACGTAACCATGGGGGGACCTAGACGTCAGAACTTCAAATCCAGGTCATAACTCCCTTTTTTTGGTGTGTGTTGTAACTTTGAACAATTGCTAAACGACCAGTTATAAGGATTATTTGTACCAATACAGTAGTTCTTGCAACACATTCCTAAAAGTATAAAATCTTGCTTCAGAAGGCTGGATAATATGTATGTCATTAAACTTTGAAAACATGTTTAGAAAGTGTATTTCTTGAACACCTTGTCACATTAAAATAAATAAATGTTTATTATATTATTAACTACATTTTCTTTTAAGAGCTACATTCTGGTAGTGAATAAGGCTTGAGCCAAAGAGAATAGGCCTCGATTTCTCTGTCATTTTTACTGCTTTGTTTCCTTCTACAATTCTTTACACTGCAAGGAATCCAGCCTTTTAGTTTTCACAGGCATCTTAACTGATCATTTGCAGAGAACACTTAAATTTAGGCTGAAGGACACACAAAATTAAGCCAATGACAAAAGGTTGCCTGCTTCTGTTTTAGTAGAGGACTTAAGTACTCTTCTGCAGATTTGAAAAGAACAGTTGCAAAACTTTGCAATAATGCTTCCTCTCTCTGCTCTTCCCCTTCTGGTGACCTCTACAGTAGTAGGATTGCTTTAGAGAATTATTGTTATTTTAATGGAAAGTGTTGAAAAAAAGAGAGGGGGGGAAATAGAATAAAAATGAGATACATTTCTAATCTGTCCTTTCTTTAAAAATTAAGTTAACTATCTTTGACTTAAGTGAGTTTTGCCCCATTTTACAATCTTTCTTGCCAGAGTTGTTAAGTGAATCGCCGCAGATGTTTAGTTAGTAACATGGTTGTTAAGTGAATCTGGCTTCACCATTGACTTCTGTCAGGTTGCAAAAGGTGATCACATAACTTTGGAGCTGCCTTAAATACACGCCAGTTGCCAAGTGTCCAAATTTTGATCTCGTGACCATGGGAATGCTACAGTGGTTGTGTGAAAAACGGTCATATGTCACTTTTTTCAGGACCGTTATAACCTTGAACAGACACTAAACAAATGGTTGTAAGTCAGGGACTCCCATTATTTTTGGGTTCTAGCATACTCTCATTCCCCTTTGACTCACAGAGCTGTTTGGAGATACTTTCAGGTGAAGACGAAGGGAATGCTTACCTTGATTTTCTAACTAGTCTTTTAAAAATTCCAGAGAGGATTTTGTGTTTGGGATAGTAACTGCTACAATTAATTTTCAAATATTGTTCAACTATAAAACACTCTCTGATTCCTTTCCTTAAGAGAAGTACTAAAACTTCATGAGGGAGAGTGGTAAGGCATTAATTTTTACTTTTTAAAAACCTTAGTCCTTCTAACTCAGCCTCTCTTAAGGGTTTTGAGCGCACGGGCTACCTTCTCAGAACTCACTGAAGCAATGAATAATAATGAATTTCTTTAGGAATACAGTAAATGCCAAGGGTTGGTGATACCATTCAAAAGGTAGATCATACATCTTACCATATAACCACTCATTACACTACAAGTAGTAAGGGAGAGAGATGAGCCCAAAGCTTTGAGGATGACAATATTTGGGTAAATTCATCAAATAAGCTGAGATTGCTCTTTGCTGTATAGAACATGGAACATTAAGGTGTATTATATGGAACTGATAATATAACAAAACAAAATACCCGCTACATTTAGAGAAAAAAATGTGTCAACTCATGCTTAATAAAAAGCTGCTGTTTCTATTTAATGGAATGCATTTTATTTCTCTACGGCATCTTTTTTCCCCCATTAATACTTTGCACTTCGTGCCAATGATTTAGTTCTGGAGGCTTCTTTTAATTTTTGCATTGAAAAATACAACTTTTTTTTAAAAAAAAAAAACATTTTCTGCAGTTCTTGTTTCCGTAAAGTTTCAACTTGATTGCTTTGTAAGAATGAAAGGAAGGAAATATTTTTTTCCTGGTGCCAACAGCTGATATTGTAAATTATAATAGATTTGGAAATATGCAGATGCCTGTGGTTGCCTGTAAGTGAATAATTATCAAATAATTAGTATTTTCATTAAAAGTAAACTGGTTTTCTAGTTTTCACATTTTTCTATCATGTCCGTGGACTAAGTATTATTTCAGTGGGCTTGGATTGCCTCATTCATTTCACTTACTGGAATGTTGTAAGCAGTGGCTTTGATCCAACAAAAGCTTGTTTTCAAATACTAACTTGTGACTAAAAGATTTTCAAAGTTTATTTTACTGATACATTACTGTATCAGTAAAATACATTAATGTACTGTATACATAAATAATATGGAAATCTTTTAAACACTTTTTCATATTTCTTGAATTTTGGATTTTTTCTGCCTAAAAACAGCAATACTTGGTTAGGCAGGCTTCAGGATTGACTTATATCAGTTACTTTTTTTAAACGTGCAGTCTTCTGAAGTTTGAATAACTCAGAACTTCTACATAACTATGTCATAATTAATTTGGGTTACATGATCCTGATCCTACTCTATGGCTTAATAACTTCTGAAAGGATAGTCATGTAAGAACAAAAGGAAGACTTTATAAAGATGAACTTTTTTGTTATTGAGCTTTCACGTATTTTCTGTACTCTCAATTGATTTCCAAGTGGGCCATTCCGTATCAGCTACTTCTAATTCACTCAAACTAACCTCAACTGTTTGCATGGCAATTTATCCCCCCTTTTGGCATAGAGGTAGTTCTTGATTTATGACGATTTTGGTCATTAAGTCTTGCAATCATAACTCAAGGCACATGACAGGACTTGATTTTATGACTGTTTTTATGGCTATTGTAAAGTGAGTCACCGAGGTTATTAAGTGAATCATGTAGTTGTTAAATATATTCTTCCAAATGAGAATTTTTTTACAGAAATTTGCAATCTTGACCACAGAACACAACAACTGGTTGTAAATGCAAGCCAGTTGACAAGCACCCAAAATGCAATCATGTGACTGCACAGTGGAAGAGTGTTGTAACTTTGAGAATGGATCATAAGTAGCTTTTGAAGTCTGTAATTTTGAATGGTTGTTAAATGACCAGTCATAAATCAAGGACCACCTGAGATCCCACAGATCCCTAACCTCTTAGCTTTTCAGAATGCCTTGAAAACCTGGCTTTTCCAACAAGTGTTGGGAAAGAGTAAGGTTGGAACCCATTGTTTGTATATATGTGGGATATGTGTTGGTTTGGGGGATGCCAGGAATTTTTGTGAAGGTTTTCATTTTTGGTACTGTTTTTAATATTGTTTGTAAGCAACCCAAAATTATGTTGCTTAAAGTGGATGTCTACATAAGTCCCTTAAATAAATGTTTTGTGATCCGTCCAAAAGATCTCTTACTGAATCTATTCAAATTCCATTATTTGCAATAATAGCACAACTATGTAAGTATTTTCTTATTGAATCTGTGGTCACTAGGAACCAAAAAAGACTTGATGGCACATAATCAAATCAGTCCAGGTATTAGCCAATGTACTGGAAACTGATCAGTGATTCACTAGTAATAAAAATTATCTAGTGCCCTTCAGATTTGTGGAACTACACTCCTTGTTTTCCAGCAGATATGACCAGTAATTAGATAGTGGCTGGCAGGTTGTTTAGTGTTGCCCAATCTGGTGTTATTCAGGTGGGCTGGCATTGCAATTTGGCCAGTTTGGCCTAATGCTTAAGGCCCCAGGCTAGAAACTGAGAGTTCTAGTCTTACCTTGGGCATGAAAACCAGCTGGGTAATTTGGAGCCAGATATTCTCTCAGCACAACTCACCTCACAAGGTTTGTTGTGGGGGGAAATAAGAGGAAGCAATATGCATGTTCACTGTTTCAAGTTACTTCTAAAATAATAAAGGTGGGATAAAAGTCAAGCTCAACCGACCTCACAGGGTTGTTGTTGTGGGGAAAAGAGGCGGAAAGTATTTGGACATGTTCACTACCTCGAGTTATTTGTAAAAATAATAAAGATGGGATGTAAATAAATGAAAATATCCACATTTTTCCATTCAAAATACTATAAATTGCGGTCTCAAGGCATCTGGAAGGTATGGCTCAGAAAAGATCAAAATGGTAAATTCAGATTCAGAGCAGCTCTGATCTCTTCTAACTCGCAGAATTTATTGGAGTTGCATAATTTGAAGTCACCAAAGCTTAATTTATTTGAGAGATTTTTTCAGTACAGGAAGCCATGTGCTTGGCACACATATTTGTTTTTTTTTCCAAGCAGGAATGTGGGGAACGCAAATGCAAGATAGTACAGGATAGTATTTTCTCCCCAAGAGTTTTCTGGCCTGCTTTGTTTTCCTAGCCAAAACCAGCAGTTTTTGCCACAGCGCCGTCTCTTCTGCTTCTTCACTTGCAGAGTGTTTGTTCTTTTCTTGCACTGGGCTGCTGCAGCAGCAATCCGGCCGCGACCTGTGCACGATGCAAACAGAAGTTTCAGGATGGGGGAAAAGAGAAAATGCAAGTTTTGAGGTACGGGTCGAAAGAAGAGGGCCAACCGTATAAACCACTTAGACGTGGCAGATATGAATAACTTTTTTTTATACCTCTCATAAAAACACTGAAGCTGTTGCACAAGAGCAATCCATGACTCACTGCCTCACGCTCGAATTTAACACTCAAAAATTTCCCTCAAAATTATGGTCCCTTTCACTCCTTGCATATTTTTTTTCCCTCCAATCCTCCCTCCCTTTGCATTTTCCTAGGTCGGGATCTCTAAAAAAAAAAAATAATTCCGAAGAATTACCAGTTTATAGAAAATGTGGCATTTCCGAGAAAGAGCTGTAAAAACCCTGTAAGCTAGGTGCAAAATCTCTATCGTTTCGTTTGAGACCGATAAACTGAGCTCTCCGTTGCATCTGCCTTTGCAACTAAGTCAAGACGGCCCTGCGCCCCCGCCTCCCTCGCTTTTTTTGGGGGGGGGGAACTGGCGCTCCGTCGCATGTGTTTCCTGGGGGGAGGGGGTGGAAAATGAAACTGCGCTTCGCCAGAATGCAATCCACACGTTTTTGCACGGCTAACCCGAAAGGAGTTTGCTGGCTTCCTGTTCTCTTTTTCTGCACTCTCGCTCTCTGATCCCCCCCCCTCCACCCACCCCCGCCCGAGTTTTCAACTTTCGATAGTTGCTCTGATTTGTTTCCTTGCCTACGGCGCCTTCCGAGTGCGCACGAATTCCTGGCAAAGCGTCCATGGGTGGCCCGAGAAGAAATCGGGACTAAAAGTATCTTCCAGCAGAGAGAAAGTCAGCGCTCTTCCTGGCAGGGCAGCGTTTCCAGTAACGTGATGAAGCTCTTCCCGCTGACCTTGTGGCTCGGCTGGAGATGCGAATGCGCGCCAGAGCCACTGGATCCTCCTGCCAGGCAAACGATGGGGCAGGCGCGCTCTCGCAGCCACACGCAACTCTAGTCTAGAGTTACTAGATGGCTATTAAAACGGGGGGGAAAAAAAAACTTTCTTCCCCTAATATGGTAACAGGAAATGGGCGTGACTTCGGCCTGCTGTAGGGTGGGGAAGCCTGAACAGCAGGCAGTTGTGCTGATGAAGTAGAAGAGCTGGTTTTACTTCTGTTGCAGAGCCGAAGTGCGTTTTTCTTTTTCTCCCCCCTCCTCCTCCTCCTTCGGCAGGCGGCTGCTCCAGTTTCCTTACTTGAGAATTGTGCAACGTCTTGCTATCAAGAAGGGAAGGGAAGGGAGGGGAGAGGGGAAAAAAAAAAAAAAAAGACCCAGCTTCCTCTGCTGCTGCAGTTGTTTGCCGCCTTCGTCGCTACAGTTCTCCACCTCGCTCGGCCCCCCCTTTCTGTTCCCCAAGCTGTGATCTCAAATCTGTGACTCAGAGACTTGCAATCCTGACACCGCAAAGTGCGGTTGGCGGAGAAGGCGACTAGAACCGGGGTTTTTTTTCCCCGCTTGGAGCAGGTACGCTGCAGGACTCTTGCGCAGGAAGCAAATTGAGCGAGCGAGAGAGGCGAAGCCACTGCAAGCGATACTCGCCGACGCCAGTCTCTTCCCCCCCCCCACTTTCCCCAAAACTTTCTGGTTTCTTTTCAAGTAGCCTTTAGAGAGCTCTCTTGGCGTTTGGTTGATTGCCTGGAATTTTTTTTCTTTTCTTCCTTTTTGGCCGGGGAGGGGATTACAATCTACGAGAGGACTGAAGGAAAGAGAGATGGGGGAACGAACCTTTTAATCTGCTCCAGGAAAACACAGAGGTAAGTGGAGCTTTCTGCCTCTCTTTCCCCCCTCCCCCACCCCCAAAAGAAATCGCATCTCGCGTGGGGTCGGTGCCTTTGCAGCCCCGACCGATTTTGCAAAGGAGCAGTTGTGGTGCTGGTAATGGGAAGGCGTCGAGAGCTCGGGCGAACTTTTTGTTGGCTTTCCGGCGTCTCTTCAGTCGCCTGCACGAATGCGTGGCGTGGCTGTTGTTTGTGCAGCGAAGCGTCTCGGCCGGGCGAGCAGGCAATCGCGGAACGGAGGGCTCTTCCCTTCCGAACCGGGAAATGAGATCCGTGCCTGCGGAATTCTACTTAAAAAGGCGCCTGGCAAAATGAGTTGCGGGGGGGAGAAAAGGCGCTTCGAATTGCCTCGGCTTCCGATCGCCGCATACTTCCTGCTGAAGGGCGTTCGCAATTCCAATCGCTGCTACTTTGCGCGCGACCCTCACATTTATTTCAATCCTGTGGGTTTTTTAAAATCCTGATTAAGGCGGATAACAGGGGAAGGAATAGTTAAGATACGTTTCGTGTCTGTAGTAAAGCGGGTATAACATTTCCTCTTTCAATTCCTCCCTCCGGGTTTTGTCGGGTAATCCCCCCCCCCCGTTACCGATTGACACTGTTTTGCAGAGAAAGAGGCACAGTACGCTTCTCCTCAGCCCATCCCCGTGGGACTTCTGCAGATCGCTCTCCTACTTGTCGATCTGATTTGTGATGCGATAAATTAGAAGGTTCCTTGTGCGGGTCTGTCTCGGGATGGTAGATGTTTTCCACATGCGAGAAAGGGCTCGTGGAAGGAGGCGCCCCCCCCCCACTTTTTTTTTTTTTATGTCTTGAGTGCATAAACTACAGTACATGAATGCTTAGGCTAGAGATACATGTGAGCGAAGATCACATTGTTATCTGTCCACCCCCACCCCTTTCTGTTTGCATAAATTTGTGCCCAGAAATGTGAAGGGGTGAAAAAGGAATGTGTGCAAAGCCCAGGAGGGATGTGTGTAAGAAGCTCAGGTGATTTCTGGAACCCTGATCTCATCTTGCTTTAGAGGCTGAGGGGTTGCAGCAGTGGCAGTAATGTTGAAAGGTATGTGTAATCAAAGTCACAGTGACTTCCCAGGGCGTGTGGTTGGAGTTGTAACTGGTGACATCATCCAAGCTGTTCTAGTTCCTGTGGAAATCAATGAGAGCTTTGCTATTAAGTAGAGGAGTGTAATTGGCCCCTGCACTTGGAGCATGACATCCTAGAAGTAGACCTGCCTTTTAGCTTGGAGCTGGGCATCATCAATCTCTTTCCTGGTGACCTGAGAGTCAAGGTGAATTCATAGGCTATTATTGTACATTAACATTAACTTCCTTGCCTAAAGAAGGGATGTGTTGTGTCACAGGATGTTCCAAGTTTGTTCATGTGGGACTGTCACTCTCACAGCACCTGAACTGACTGCAGTTCTCTGTATGCATAGTTTATGAGGGTATTTTTGTTTCTGCTTGTTACTAGTTTCACTTTAACCACACTGGTAATAAGCCATGAGAGGCAGAGAGACACAAAAGCTTCTTTTAAGTTTTTTTTTCTTTCCATTACTTTGTGGAATTGGTAAATATGGATGTAATAACTTTAATTTAGTTCAGTTTGGTTGTTGACCAAAAGCTGGAACATGATGTCACAGTTACATGGCTTTTTAAGGTTTTATGAAGCTATGCATTCCTGAATGTAATGACAGAGAGGCTAGCTAGCTGGCTCACTACCTCCTGTCTTAGAAGTTAGTTTTTAAGACATGTTTATTCTGCTAAATTGAATCAGTTGTCAACTGAGGGCCTGCTTATATTACTTTAGAACCTACCAAAATGTGTGATTATTTGATTTTATTATTTGTTTGTTTGTTTATTGCATGAACAGAGTGCTCTGTATCAGAAACAAATTCCTCCTGTGTTTAAACACATTTGGCCAAATAAAGATTTCAATTCAATCTTTAATTTGTAAAAAGTAAATGTTATGTGGAGCTGGAAGTAATCAAGAACAAAATGAGGGCCTCATGCTAGTGCATTTATTTCTCAAGCATGCATCTGAGGTCCAAAATGTTCTTGGAGAGAAAAAAAAATTGAAAAGTTGGAAGCCAGTTCTTCAGTTTTAAGTATCACCCACTGTCCCAAAAGAAAAAAACAGACCATCTTGTAACCCGAATAGAATAAAACATTCTCAATTTGTCTGTTTCCAATCCATTCTTTTCAGATCCAATAGACTTCAACTCTGAGAGGCTATAGCAAACAAGATCTATTTAAAGGATTCTAAACCAGCGCATTGAGAGGCTGTTGTAACAATTTTTAGGAAGTTTTCAAATTGATTACAAAATGAACCCTAATGACATTTTGCACAGTTCTTCTAAATGGGTGTAAATATGAAGACAAACTCATATTATTTTAAGAACTTTTGGTGAGGCCATTTCTGCAGTCTAGCACTTTACAGAAATAAGGGTAGAATGCAAGATTCACTAACCTATGTATGCAAATCTCTTCCTGGATAAGGTATTATTTTAGCATGCCAAATAACAGTACAACAGTTGAAGTGTGTGCAGGCACAGACTTGGGAGTAGCTTGCATCATTAATGAGACTTACCTGGAGAACTATGTCTGATTTATAATAAAGTAGCTTTATTCAGGGTGAGTCTTGACTTACAAAGTTATAAGAATGCTGTTGGGTTAAGGCATGGAGAGAGCAATTAATATTATTAGGTAAAAATAACATATTTTAATTTTAATGAATCAGCTTCCAACAAAGGAATTCATATCAGTTCATTCTACTCATAGAACCTTAAATACAGAAATGGATATTTCAATGTTTATGGTGTTGGAAGACTGGATTTCAGGGGAAAATTGTTTCTTGATTGATGGCTTGTTGTGTCGATCTGATAGAATGTGCAGTTCTTGCCAGATGATGGTACTTGGTTGTTGGCACCTCACTAATTGGAATGCAGAAAGACAGATTTATACTACTGTGTAGGATAAAATATTAATTTTGTGTTTAATTTCTTCAAAAGCTTGTTAGCAGTTTACAAAATCTTAATGTGAAAAGGATGAAAGATGTAACTAACTAGACAGAATTAGATGCATAACTTGTTTTTACCCTTATTGTTCATATAAGTAATGTACATCCAGAACTATATAACCTATTTCTAATGTTGCTACATTATGTAATTTTGGTTGCATCCCCCACTTTTATTAAAAAAAATTGCATTGTTTGAAATATATAGATCCTGAGATAACTACAAGTAGTTCTTGAATTACAACCAGCATTGAATTTCTGTTGTTAAGTGAGACATTTGTTAAGTGAGTTTTGCCCCATTTCACAACATTTCTTGCCAAAGTTAAGTGAATCACTTCAGTTGATAAGTTAGTAACCTGGTTGTTAAGTGAATCTGGCTTTCTCAATGACTTTGCTTGTCAAAAGGTTGCAAAAGGGGATCACATGACCCTGGGACGCTGCAATGGTCATAAGTATGAACCAGTTGATAAACATCTGAACTTTGATCACATGATCATGGGGATGCTGTAAAAGTTGTAACTGAAAAATGGTCATAAGTCACTTTTTTCAGTGCCATTGTAACTTCGGTCACTAAATGAACTGTTGTAAGTCGAGGACTATCTGTAATGATCTTTTGCTTGTATGATGCAAACTTTGGCTTTGCTGAATGAATGGTAAGGGAGAACTACCTGTAATAATTTCCCTAATAATGGCTCTCTTACTTTTTGCAGTAAATTTATATTTTGGCTTTAAAAGTAACAACTTTAATAGGCATAATTTTAAAGAACAATTGGCTTAATTTGATTTGATTTACAACAAATTGTCCTATGCTATCAATAATATATTCTAATGGATGTAACGAAACATATTAACAGGGGTGTCAATGGAAATAAAACTTCAAAAATGCAGAGTGTGGAAATTCTGGAAACTTACATGTTGAAAAAGTGTATCACTGAGTGTAAGCAAAATTGGTCCATAAATTAAGATGCCTGTTTTGTTTAGCATATCAGAGCAAAATAAAAGAAGAGTGTTGTGGTATCTTAAAGATTTAATATTTTATTTATTTCACTTCAGTGTTTATTTTCTGCAGTCAAATTGGTAATGGAAGAATTTATTAAGATATCAAAATACCTTTCTGTTTCTGCAGTAGCAAAGTAAAACAGCATATTGACTCTGGATGGTATATATGCCAATAATAATTGGGGTGGAAACCTATTGTACTATATTGCCTTTGTCTCAACCGACTAATTTTTTTAAATGCCATAAATGTAGAGTTTTACATTCCCCTAAATCAATGGTTATTAAGTGCTTGCATACAAATGAACTGATTAGCCTTAACTAAAAGACAGGAACATTCCATTATCCCAGCTGGCAATTCTGGGTATTGTAACTATTTGAAAGACACCCGATTAGGAAAGAGCAGACTATAGAAATATATAAAAAGTTTTCTACAAAGATTGAACATGTGTCTGGAAGTTTGATGATTAATAATGCAGTGGGTCATATCTACTTTGCACTCTTTAAATCTGATGCTATTCAGTCTTTCAGAATTCAAAATAGGTTAGAAAGTCACAACTCGATTTTTGAAGCTCCAAAATCATTGTGCCATACCAAAATTTAAAAGTAAAATGCCAATTTTCATCAGTACGTTTGCTTAACCCCCATCATGTTGAAACCACCACAGACCTTTCCATTCCATGGTGTGACAGTTGGGCTCAAAATTTCAGCCCTGCACATTCCATTGACACTTGTTATTAGCCACTCACCTTAAGCTCTTTGGAGAATGCAAAAACAAATTTATGGATATGTTTTAAAAAATCCTCTTAACATTTAGATGTTAGGAGAGGGATACCCTCTCTGCTGCTAGTGCTGAATCAGCTTTGCCTTCAAATTCAAGTCCAAATCTAATTTACAGTGCACAAGCTTGAATTTGCCTTGTTTGTTTCTCACCTTTGGCCGAGATAATGATTTGCATGGCAGT